ATAACACTGTTCTGTATACGCCCCTGTATAAAGGGGACGTAACTTTGTTTACTCCACGTGCCAAAATACGGGATCATCCGGAAAATAACGGGATGTACCGATAAAGCGACACCTGCTGTCATAATATGAACACAAATTATTGCAACTCGCATTATGCTTACTGCCAACTGCTTAGTGCGTACTGTCACATGCGACTATCGCTATCGTTGTCATCTTCGTTGTCGATGCGCAGTGATCATGTTTTGCATTATATTTGTAATCAGTGAATATATTGAAGCATATGAATGCTAAGACACATCAAATTCGCCAATTAGTGATCAAAATTAATAATTTATTGTGGCATAATGTCGACAATATAAGTGGCAGATTTATAGCAAATTAAAGGTACTGACAGAAACTTTCCATGTTACATATAGTTATATCAAGAATAAGCAACGAATGTTATCTTAAACACCAAACATAATACGTTGTCCTTAATAAAGGATGCAATTAAACATATAGCATATTAAAATATGTGAGTTTGATGGTTTAGTAGGGAACACATAAGGTTGCAATTACATGAAAGTGCATTCAGTAATCTCAAGGCATGATTGAATTCAGCAAAACGCAGGTTTTCATTGTCATAAAGAAGAATAGAAGCAAGCATAATGTAAATCCCGATATCATAAAGCAAGATGGAATAAATGCACTAATTCTGTTCCATAAATAACTGTTTACGAGCATATTTTTTCTATTAGACTGTATACATATATAAAATTATATTGCATAATCCTTTACTACTTGTATTTATATTCTTTCAACTGCAATTTATGTATTAAGCGCTTACTACTTATTTTATTTATATACGCAGTATCTATACGGAAAATTCCGATGAAAGGCGAATCGTGGAAAAATTCCGTTGATATCGATAACAGAGTTCTCGCCCCTTAACAATTCACAAATCGCGACATATATTAAATTGTTTATCATAATGTAAGATGATCAAACATAATCCACAAAGCCTCGGACACCGAGCTTTATTAAGCATAAACACTGAATACATGTAATGGATATAAGCGAATCCATCAGGGAACAAAAAATAGTCAATTTTAAATGACTTCTATACATAAAAGTAATACAAAAAAAAAAACTAAACCGTAAATGGTTTGTATAGAGAATCAAGCCTATACATAAAGGCATATGACGTTAACATTTTAGTATTCCAAATGGCTTGTTCCAGTTTCATAATTATCACTCAATGAAAGAATTGGTCACTACGAAATGTTTGAATGAAATAATGAAAAATGGAATCCAGCATAATGCAAAGTTTAAATATCATAAAGCAAGATGGAATTAAGCATAATGCAAGTTCCAATGTCATCAAGCAAGATAGAATAAATGCATTAATTCTGTTCCATATTATTTACAGCACTTCTCGCTCTATTAAAGGGACATCATTGAGGCTTTAAGACATGACGGGATTTGAAATAATTTTTCGGATTATTGTTCCGTTTGTAGTAGGTCTCTGTTGCTTCCAGAACAAATATTCTAACCGTATAAAACGACAAAATATTGACAAAAGCAACGCAAAAAAGCAAACTACAATTTTGAGCTGACCATTCTTAGGTTATTTCTGTTAAAATGTCCAATTCGATCTATGTAGGAATCTCAAATTTTATATTTTAGACTATGGTTCATTTAATTGGAAAATAATGTTTGTTAATTTTGGAAATCTCCAACACAATGTGAATTATTTTGACTTATCACTGCAAAAGCTTGGTGTATTTAGACTTAAGAAACATTGACACTTTCAAGTATCAATACTTTTGAGAGCGTCACGCTTTTCAGGTGTCAAGTGCATTCAGTACTTCACGAGTTTAAGGTGTCAAGTACTTTCAGTATTTTTCGATTTTCAGTGTCAAGTACTTTCCGTGCGTCACGTTTTTCAGGTGTCAAGTACTATCCGTGTTTCACAATTTTCGGTGTCATTTCGCGATTTTCAAGTATCAATACTTTGAGTGCGTCACGATTATCAAATGTCAAGTGCTTTCAGTGTTTAAAGATTTTCAGGTGTCAAATACTTTCAGTGTTTCATGATTTTTAGGTGTCGAGTACTTTCAGTGTTTCACGATTTTCAGGTATAAAGTGCTTTTCAGTGTTTCACAATTTTCAGGGGTCAAGTACTTTCAGTTTTTACGATTTTTTAGGTGTCAATTCCTTTCAGTGTATCACGATTTTTAGGTGCCAAGTACTTTTATTGCTTTACGGTCGGTTTTTTCAGGTGTCAAGTACTTTCGGTGTTTCACGATTTTCATGTGTCATGTACTTAAAGTGTTTCACTATTTCAGGTGTCAAGTACTTTCAGTTTTTCTTGATTTATAGGTGTCAAGCACTTTCAGTTTTTCACGATTTTCAGGTGTCAAGTACTTTCAGTATTTCTTGATTTTCAAGTGTCAAGTACTTTCAGTGAGTCACGTTATTCAGGTGGCAAGTACTTTCAGTGTATCACGGTTTTCAGGTGTCAAATACGTCCAATGTTTTGTGATTTTCAAGTATCAGTACTTTGAGTGCGTCACAATTATTCAATGTCAAGTGCTTTCTGTGTTACACGGTTTTCAGGTGTCAAATACTTTCAGTGTTTCAAGATTTTCAGTTATAAAGAGCTTTCAGTGTTTCACGATTTTCAAGAGTCAAGTACTTTCAGCGTTTAACGATTTCAGGTGTCAAGTGCTTTCAGTGTTTCACGATTTACAGGTGCCAAGTTCTTTAAGTGTTTCACGATTTTCAGGCGCCAAGTTCTTTCAGTGTTTCACGATTTTCAGGTGTCAATTGCTTTCAGTGTTTCACGATTTTCAGGTGTCAAATACTTCTAGTTTTTCAGGATTTTAAGGTGTCAAGTTCCTTCAGTGTTTCATGATTTTCAGGTGTCAAGTACCATTAGTGTTTCACGATTTTCAGGTGTCATGTACTTTCAGTGTTTCACGATTTTCAGGTGTCAAGTACCATTAGTGTTTCACGATTTTCAGGTGTCATGTACTTTCAGTGTTTCACGATTTTCAGGTGTCAAGTACCATTAGTGTTTCACGATTTTCAGGTGTCATGTACTTTCAGTGTTTAACGATTTTCTTGTGTCTATTTCTTTCTTTCTTATTTTTCGATTTCAAGTTGTTTCAGTGCGTTATAATTCACAAGTATCAGATATTCCAGTCCTTCGCAGTTTTCAAGTACCAATTATTTCAGTGCGTTACACTTTCAGGTGTCCAGTTATCCGTGAATCACAATTTTCATTAATTCCAGTATGTCACAATTTTCGGTAAATTTCAATGTTCATAGTGTTTTACAATTTTCAGGTTTCCCGTTCATTCATCAGTGCTTCCCAATTTTCAGGATTCAAGTAATTAAAAAAATCTCTCGATTTAAGGGGTTCCCAGTATCTACAGTGCAATACTCTGAGTTCTTCACTATTTTCAGGTTTTAAGTAACTTTCAATGTTACCAAATTTTTATGTTTCTAGTCATTACAGTGCTTCCAAATTTCAGGTTCTCCAGTACATTCAGTGATTAAATATTTCAGGTTCCCGGTACATTCAGTGCGTTACAATTTTTAGGTTTTCTTGTACTTTTACTTATGTCTATGAGATATCTTAGATATTTTACAGGAAAAATAGTTTAGAAGACGTCCCTGGTGTTAAACTTGCCGTACCTTGAGGGGTCATGGACTTTCCTTACTGGGGCTTAAATTTAATAGCAACCAGTGGATCAACAATCGTTACTTTACAGTCATCAGTGACTTTGATAGCAACTATTTTCTTCAGTTATTTCTGTAGCAGCAATTGACTTTCCAAAGTAATTAGTGATCTCATAAGGCATCACTGACTTTCCATTGCCCCTTTAAAAAAACAAACCTTCCCCTTTAAAAGAAACAAAGCCAATTTATTTTTTCCAGCCTTTCCCTTTTTTCCCTAAACCCCAAAACTTTTTTTTAAATTCAGCCTAAAAAACCCTTAAACCAAAAATTTTCGAAAAAAAAAATTAAATTGAAGGTTAAAATTAAAAAGCCAAGCCATAAAATTTCCCCCAAAACCAATAAATTTTTTTAATAACCTGTCACTTTTTAAAAAGTTTAAAGGGCCCTTTCATTTGAAATTTTATTGTTTTGGGAGCATACGGGAAATTTTCCCATATTTTCCATAACCCAACCATTTTTTTTTTCCTTACCTTAACCAAAAAACCCCTTTCCATAAAAAAACAAATTAATTTAAACCAAGGGAATAAAATAGGGCCCTATAAAAATAAAGAAAACCCAATTTAAACTTCCAAAAACACCCCCCTTAGCTTTTTTAATAGCCACCAGTTAATTCTTCAATTACTAATAAAGTTTCTCAGCAATAACAACCCATAACCGTTTTTACATTTGCACGGTTTCAGATGCAGATATGACCTTTGTGATATCAGTAAAAGATTAAGACTGTTTTCCATTTATAGTAAACAGTGTTTACCTTTACCTCATATATACGCGAAACAACGCACTTTCGACCCCCCCCCCTTTTTTTAGGCATGAAATAGTGAAAAAATGCCCTATTTGGGCCCCAAACACATGTTTTCGTTTGAGATGTCCCCTCGTTGTCATGGTAACAGGAAATTTAAGACTGAACATGTCGTTACAAAGGCAATGGTCCAGTCAACATTTGTGCCAAGTTTGATTAGTATTGAAGCATTTTTCATAGTTTCAATAGCAGGCTTGAACTTAAGAGAAGGGCTCTTCAGTGAAAAATGGCCATTTTTCACAATATGCTCATGGGGGAAAAACAGGGTTAATTGTCCCTTGTTATCAAAAGCCTTTATAATAAGTAGAGCCATCATGATTCTTGTTCAGTACATTTTGTTTTTCATGTATAATACCTTTCATAAACATATAAATTGTTGGGTAAACCATCCTTCGATAAACACCTTTTTAAAAAGGATCAAAAACCAAACTTAAAAATGATATTCGTTGTTATTTAATTCCGGTTTTAGATACTTATGCGTCGAAGTTCTTCAGCTTTGAATATTCAGCAAACAATTGCCGAATTCAAAACTTGCCCTCTTGATCTGGAAGAAGAGAGAAGGATACAGAAAGAAATAAAAAAGTGGAAGGACTATGAAGATGATGTTGACCGTCTTAAACATGAAATGATAGCCGTGAAAAAAAATGCATCTGACGTGAAGAAAGACCTTGAAGACGTAAAGGGAAATGTAACTGGCGTGAAAAAAGACCTAGAAGACGTAAAAGAAAATGATACTGCAGTGAAGAGAAACCTGGAAGACATAAAGGCAAATGTAACTGATGTGAAGAAAGACGTTGATGAGATCAAAAGACGGCAAGGGACAGGTTTGTTATTTTTCAAGCTTAAATATTTTATTTTATAGAAAGGCTGAGAAAATAATATACTAGAATACTAACAAATACTATATCCATGGACCTTTTTGCACACAAACGGTCCCCAGGAACTGTATTACAATGAAACTTTTTGGGATTAAAAGTTGTCAAGTCAACAGCAATAATTCAATAAATCAATGAATACAAACAATTTTTCCTGACGTTTTCAATTCGTTTATTTTTTCGTAAATTGCTTCGACAAACTTCATAAATCTCTGCTTGTTTGTTTGATATGGTAGATAATTCCGTTTCCAGACCATTGTCATTGCTAGAAATATCAACAATATAAGAAAAACGAAAATTGTCTCTTTTGAAAATTATAATCGATTCCTTCCACTTTGCAAATATAACAAATTTAATATCTTGCGGTAAATATTAAATGAAAATCTACAATATTTCTTGGTTTTTAGTCACAAGCAACTTCAAGAAAATCTGAAAATTTGCCGCAGTATCTATAAATGTAACCGAAATTTTATAACATTTGTGTGTAATTTGTCAAAAGATGCATACACATCAATCAATCCCGTGGATGATATGAGTGATAAATAACTATTTAATAATTTTAAAGATCCTTTAACTCTTTTTATATCGTTTTATATCATAAATATAATGCTCAAATGAAGGTTTATCAATATTGTAAGTTCCAAAAAACATTATTTGCAAAAAAAAAGATATTACCAAATTTCCATTTTATGTAAATAGAGGGAGGTACCGGTAATTTGAAATTTATTTCCTATAAAGCCTAACCTATTTTTTTCAATCAGAAATGAATGCATATATTTTAATGATAACATATAATGTGGACAAATATTTGCAGTACATATTTTACATATTCTTCGATGTTTGAAAATCGTTTAAGAAGCATAATTATATACATATATAAAATCTCACTTTAGTGTGGTAACAACCTTATTTATAACATACAAGATCTTTTATATTTACAATTTTCTATCGGTGTATTCTTAATTATTATTCATATGTTTGTTAAGACCGCGCAAGTCGTAAATATTCTTGCGACGAACAGGCAAGTAACGTTACTGGTATAAAAAATCCAATCATTATGAAAGGGAGTAAAACTAAAACTGAAATAGCAAATGATTTTCAAATTCCAAAAAGTACTTTACGCCCTCGGGTATTGTGTCTAAAAAGAAATAAATGATAAATTTGTCTTAATCAACACAGGTGGCAGTATTAGTGTTTGGACACCTCACTCCTATCTGCCCCTGGACCCCTACTACAACCCTAAAAAAATCAACACTCAAAGGCTTACTATAAGGTACCAAATACAAAACCACCGATGAAATTTTATAAAAAAAATTGTCCACTATCAAAATTATAGTTATAGAAAGGTGAAAAGCCTTTATGTTCATTTGCCAAACAATGTGGAACACGGGAAATCGTCGTTTCGGCGACTGAGGCGCATTCCGAAGGCATTTTGCTGCATCATTCATTTACATCAATAAAAAGAACTTTAATTCCACAGCTTACTTAATTCAAGTCTAACGAATATCAATATTCTATCGATTTTTTCTATTTCACGGTAATTTTTGACTTGTCGCTGCCAGTGACAATAAAAGTGTGCTGTATGATAACAGTGACCATAAAAACACTTTTATTGTACATGTTATCATACAACACTCTTTTATGGTCACTGTTATCATACAGCAGACTTTTATGGTTACTGTTGTCATACAGAAAGCTTTTTACTTTTATGGTTGCTGTTATCATACACAACACTTTTATTGTAACTGTTATCATACAGCACACTTTTATGGTCACTGTTATCATACAGCACACTTTTATAGTAACTGTTATCATACTGCACTGTTATCATACATCACACTTTAAGTGTCACTGTTACCATACACCACATTTTTATTGTAGCTGTTATCATACACACACTTTTATAGAGCACAATTTTATGGTCACTGTTATCATACAGCACATTTTTATTGTAACTGTTATCATACTGCACACTTTTAAGGTCACTGTTATCATGCATCACACTTTTATTGTCACTGTTATCATACACCACACTTTTATTGTAAATGTTATCATACAGCACACTTTTATGGTAACTGTTATCATACAGCACTCTTTTATGGTCACTGTTATCATACATCACACTTTTATGGTAACAGTTGTCATACAGCAGACTTTTATGGTTACTGTTGTCATACAGCAAGCTTTTTACTTTTATGGTTGCTGTTATCATACAGCACACTTTTATTGTAACTGTTATCATACAGCACACTTTTATGGTCACTGTTATCATACAGCACACTTTTATTGTCACTGTTATCATACAGCACACTTTTATAGTCACTGTTATCATAAATAATACTTTTATGTAACTTATCATACACCACACTTGTATGGTCACTGTTATCATTCATCACACTTGTATGGTCACTGTTATCATACATCACACTTTTATAGTCACTGTTATCATAAATCATACTTTTATGTAACTTATCATACACCACACTTGTATTGTAACTGTTATCATACAGCACAATTGTATGGTCACTGTTATCATTCATCACACTATTATGGTCACTGTTATCATAAATCACACTTTCATTGTCACTTTCATTATACAGCACACAGTTATGGCCACTGTCATCGTACATCACACTATTATAGTCACTGTTATCATACAGCACATTTTTATGGTCACTGTTATCATACAGCACACTATTATGGTCACTGTTATCATACAGCACTCAGGCCTCGACACTAACTTTTTTAGCAGGTGGTACGCCGGACCATTAGATTTGAAAGTTAGGTGGTTCTTCCAGAAGTCAGGTGGTCAGTTATAATTATTATCATTTTACAGGTATTTTATCGTAGAGTTATTTGTTCATTTGTTTTTAGCTCAGTCAAAAATACACAACAGAGCTCTTAATTATATTAAACTGATTTCTATCTCAAGTTATGGAATAGTGAAGCCATTTGTGTCTGTTATTTTCTTACTGTTATTCAAATATTCATTGCTGATACGTGGTACGTCTTATAATCATGATAATAACATAGCATCTTTTATAGATTAACATTTTTAATGGAACTAATAAATTATCTTATTCTTGTCTTTGAAAACAAGGAAATATTACGAAAGCCCAATAGTGTCAAATGAAATAAAAAATAAAAATGCAAAGGCGTTATAACGCGAATAAAGGCGTTATTACGCGAATCAAAAGGCGTAATAACGCGATTAAAGGCGTTATAACGCGAATCAAAAGGCGTAATTACGCAAATCAAAAGGCGAAATAACGCGAAAAAAGGCGTAGCAACGCAAATAAAGGCGAAGTAACGCGAATAAAGGCGTTATAACGCGAATCAAAAGGCGTAATAACGCGAATAAAGGTGTAATAACGCGAATCAAAATGCGTAATAACGCGAATAAAGGCGTTTTAACGCGAATTAAAAGGCGTAATATCGCCTTTATTTGCGTTATAACGCGAATTAAAAGGCGTAATATAAACGCATTATAATGCCAATTTTATACCATATTTATACTTATTAAATGGCCTAGTAACGTGAAAAAGGAAAAAAAATATTGATCTTAATTTATTGCTCAAGATATAAACTCGTATAGAATAATGTAATATACATTTACAATAACTGACATTCCATTTGCGCAGTAATATTGCAAACCATTTGTAATAAACTAATGAAGACTCTTTGATATGTCAATATCAGGTGACTTGGATACTTAAAGGTCCATTGGGTTATATGTCAATACAGTTACTCTGAATTCACATCATTGATTTTACACATGTCACTATAGTAAATGAATTTCTATTTTTTCTTATATCTTATCTTATTTTATATGTGCGTCATATGTTCAATTTATACGGATATGCCCTGTATAATTACTTAATAACCTGTAGTATCTTTTACTTATGTGAATGTCGTTCCTAATTACGCTATAGGTAATTGGGTATAGGTAACAAGATTTGGAAAAACGTAAGGCATACGTAAGTCACATTAGGGTGAAAGTATAGGTATAATAAGAAGGTATAATAAGAGGGGTAAAAGTGTTTCTGTTAAGTTATAATTATAAGAGACATTGTCTTCTTTGTCTTTATCGAAAAGTATCTATAGTTGGGTGATAGTAACCTCTAATCTCACGAAAGCATTTCCTAATAAAAAAATTTAAAAAATCAGACTGTGGCCTTAGGACGTATCCGTACAGAATTGAAAATAAAACGTACATCTTGATCAATTCATTTCAATCAACATTGCTCTTCCTATCTTACATCATAAGGCCACGGTTTGGAATTTATATGGTATTAAATTAGCGTTATAACGCCTTTCGTTTCGCGTTATTATGCCTTTTGGTTCGCGTTATTACGCCTTTTTATTCGCGTTATAACGCCTTTATTCACGTTATTACGCCTTTTGATTCGTGTTATAACGCCTTTATTCGCGTTATTACGCCTTTTGATTTGCGTTATAACGCCTTTATTCGCGTTAGAACGCCGTTTGTTTCGCGTTATAACGCCTTTTGATTCGCGTTATTACGCCTTTTGATTCGCGTTATAACGCGAAAAAGGCGTTATAACACGTTATAACGCGAAACAAAATGCGTGATAACGCGAATAAAGGCGTAATAACGCAAATCAAAAGGCGTGATAACGCCTTTATTCGCGCTATAACGCGAATCAAAAGGCGTAATTACGCGAATCAAAAGGCGAACTAACGCGAATAAAGGCGTTATAACGCGAATCAAAAGGCGTAATACGCGAATAAAGGCGTTATAACGAGAAAAAAAGGCGTACTAACGCAAATAAAGGCGTTATAACGCACATCAAAAGGCGTAATAACGCGAATAAAGGCGTTATAACGCGAATCAAAAGGCGTAGTAACGCCTTTATTCGCGTAATAACGCGAAACAAAAGGCGTAGTAACGCCTTTATTCGCGTTTTAACGGAAATCAAAAGGCGTAATTACGCGAATAAAGGCGTTATTACGCGAATCAAAAGGCATACTAACGCGAATAAAGGCGTTAAAAAGCGAATCAAAAGGCGTAATAACGTGAATAAAGGCGTTATACGCGAATAAAAAGGCGTAATAACGCGGACCAAAAGGCATAATAACGCGAAACAAAAGGCGTTATAACGCTAATTTAATACCATATAAATTCCAAACCGTGGCCTAGTAATGTAAGATAGGAAGAACAATTTGATCTAAATAAATCGATCAAGACGAACGTTTTATTTTCAATTCTGTACGGATACGTCCTAAGGCCACAGTCTGATTTTTTAAATCTTTTATTAGGAAATGCTTTCGTCAGATTAGAGGTTAACTATCACCCAACTATAGATACTTTTCTACATAGACAAAGAAGGGAATGTCTCCTATAATTGTGACTTAACTGAAACACTATCCCCCATTTAAACATACTTATCAATAATCACCCTAATGTGACTAACTTAAACCTTACGTTTTCCCAAATCTTGTTACCTATAGCCTATTACCTATAGCTTAATTAGGAATGGCATTCACATAATTAGAAGATACTAGATGTTATAAGTTAATCAAATAGGATATATCCGAAGATAATTGAACATATGACGCACATATAAGATAAGATAAGATATAAGATAAGATAAGAAAAGAAAAGAAATTCATTTACTATAGTGACATGTGTAAAATCAATATGTGATACATGTAAATTCAGATTAACTGTATTTACGTCCAGTGCACTTTCATGGTTACTGTTATAATACAGTGCCCTTTTATGGTTACTGTTATAATACAGTACACTTTTATGGTTACTGTTATAATACAGTACACTTATATGGTTACTGTCATCACACAGCATACTTTTATTTTCACTGTTTTCATATAGCACGCTTTTATGGTAACTGTTATCATACAGCACACTTTTATGGTCAATGTTATCATACAACACACTTTTATGGTAACTGTTGTCATATAGCACACTTTTATGGTTACTGTTGTCATACGGTACACTTTTATGGCTTCTGTTATAATACAGTGCACTTTCATGGTTACTGTTATAATACAGTGCCCTTTTATGGTTACTGTTATAATACAGTGCACTTTCATGGTTACTGTTATAATACAGTGCCCTTTTATGGTTACTGTTATAATACAGTACACTTTTATGGTTATTGTTATAATACAGTGCACTTTCATGGTTACTGTTATAATACAGTGCACTTTTATGGTTATTATTATAATACAGTACACTTTTATGGTTATTGTTATAATACAGTGCACTTTCATGGTTACTGTTATAATACAGTGCCCTTTTATGGTTACTGTCATCACACAACACACTTTTATTGTTACTGTTACACAGCACGCTAATATGGCAACTGTTATCATACAGCACATGTAAATGGTAACTTCTTAACAGATTTGTGTCGGAAAACTGGATATAACGGTAATATGTATAAGCTAAACGGTAAGTGGAATATAAAAGTTGTATGTATATCTCCTGTCGGCAAGTTGAATATCTACGCGTGACGATATATATATAGCTTGTTATGACAGTATGCATAGCTTGTGTATAACAGTATATATGGTTTCTGTCGGCAAGTTGTATGTGTATAGGATAGATCATGAGTACCAGTTGGATGTGAGATTTATCAACTCGCTTCGCTCGTTGATAAATCTCACATCCAACTGGTACGAGCGATCTATCTGACTTAGACCACAGGTAGTTTCCTTTGTTTAAGGTGAAGATTTAACATGCTTAAACGATTTTTTCTTCAACAATTACATAGGGATATCCAAATATTTCTTATTCAATCTATTTGGCCTTATTGTATGCCACAGTTGCACGAGAAAATGGCATAATTCATGTTCTTTCATAAGTTACTGAATACACAATCTTATGAATGATTGATTTCACATTCCTTTATAAATTTCTATCACAATGGAGCAGTCAACAATTCAAAATTTCTGAATGTGATAACATTACAATTTCGCAACTTGAGTGTATATCAACTCAGAATTTTGTTGTTATTCCTATTGATTCCTCATCCAAACGATTCCATGACGTAACACCGTACACATCGCTTGAATAAGCAGTTAAAAAGCAGGACCGCTAACCGAAAAATTCTCTTAGACTGAACTCATGGGCGATGGCTGTTTATTAAGAGTGGGCTCATGTGAGAAACGGAAAGGTAATTTTCATTAAACATTTCCTTAACGAGGGGCAGGATATTTGTTGGTTGTCCGGCTGAAGTTGAAAATATTGTACTTGACGTATAGATTTGTTTATTTACTGTATGCTTTATATTCACACTGCACTGTTTTTTACCTCATCCATAAACTGAAAAAGATTACAAATGTTATCATCCCTTCAATATAATGATAATTTAGGTTTATTTTCATTTTGTCCAAATGTGTTTTTCCACCGTTTAAAACCACATTAATAGTAACACCATACATGTTTATAGTAATATTTTGTTCCGGTGGATACATTGATCATAAAGACAGACAGACGGACAGACAAATATTTTATTTACATTTGTACAAAGTACATCATCTACATACATGTATAATCCATAAATATATAACCTGTCAACCTGATTAACGAAGAATATAGTAAATAATATAAAAAGTGTTTGTAGTCCAGTTTACAAAACGGTATAAAGTGGAGATGAACATAAGTTTCGTTCAGTGTAAGTGATATTTGAACAAAGCATGTTTAACATAAAGCATATCATTTCCTTAGCATTGCAACCGCAGCCCAGTCACCGTTCGGAAACTCCACCTTCTCCGTCACCAGTGCAATCCCCTCCCAAAACAGAAATGAATGTACATACACAGTGTCTGCTATTTTGAGTGAGCCGGACATTCAGGATGTGATTATTATAAACACACTAAAACCGTCGTTAACAAAAGCGTTTGAAAATTTGTTATTACATTATAGATTGATTAACGCATTTCATTTCATTATTGCTTGTGCTTTTTGATGATGAAATGATGAAATAAATTAGTAAAAAAACTAGTGCTATCTGTTAGGTTTTTTGAGAAGAAGCGAATAATACTACTTACTTCACTACATGTATCTATGTAACCCGCATAAAACGTGCACATAACGGGTTTTTTCCTTTAATATAGTTATATCAAACACTTGACTGTGATGTGTGGGGTATATCAAACACTTTTAAACCTCTCTGATTGGCCGAGAGGAAACAGCTATGGTCTAAAACATTTTATATGACTTCTGTCTGCAAGTTGAATAAAACGATATGCATAGCTACTGTCAGCAAGAATGATGTTATGGTATATAAAGCTTATGTCGGCAAGTTGAATAACGGTATGTATAATTCGGTCGGCAAGTTGAATATAACGGTATATATAGCTTCTTTCGGCTAAATTGAATATAACGATAATTCTAACACTATCGGAATTTTTTCTATATAAACAAAGAAGGCCCGAAGCGTGCATTATTCTACAACAATGCACTCGCCGTTCTTATTATCTCCCTGTGTATTTTCACATTGAGGGCGCCATTTTGTTTGAAAAATCTTATAAATAAAAACAATTTTTTGTCGAATTTTGTTGTGAAAACTATCTAGAATGACAAAAAATGGTCTACCTAAGAAAATAAATCCGAACACCAATATCTTTAATTCAGTCGTTAACGCTGTACAGACGTTTAAAGTGTTGTTTACGTGACGTCACAATGTAGCGCCAAACAGCACGTTTTTAACTGGCCGACTGAAGCTATACTTAGGAAATAGATATGAATTCTTCGTGCATTATTGTATAATAATGCACGTTTTTCGTTCAAATGCTTTGTAATTAATCACTCAGGCCTATCGGCCTTCGTGATTATATTACTACGCATTTGAACTCAAACCGTGCATTATTCTACAACAATGCACTCAGAATTGATATCTATTTCCTAAGTATAGCTTCAGTCGGCCAGTTAAAAATAACGGTGAAAATATAGCTTCTTTTGGCAAGTTGAATTTATAGGTATGTATAGCTTCTGTCGGCAAGTTGGATATAACGATATGCACAGCTTCTGTCGGCAAGTGGGATATAACGATATGCACAGCTTCTGTCGGCAAGTGGGATATAACGATATGCACAGCTTCTGTCGGCAAGTGGGATATAACGATATGCACAGCTTCTGTCAGTTGGGTAATTACAGTATGTAAGCAATGGGAATATAACTGTATTTATAGTCGTGTTGGCAACTTAGATAAGACGGTATGTAAAGCTTCTATCGGCAAGTTATATAATATGGTAGTGCAAAAATCGTTGTGTAAAAGGGTCTATATCCCCTGTACTTTTGTCAATTTGTTATATCATATATGTACATGTCCTATATAGTTGTCCTATCCACTTTCCCATATTCTCTCATTTTCATTCATCCTATTCATTCATTGCAACATGGAACACTTAAGTCATTCTATAATTCTTAACGACTTATTTCTTCTTGGCAGGCCTCTTAAAATTTACTTACCCGGATTAGAAGGCACGCATGCGCACTTTGAATATACCTCCATTGGTTTGCGCCACGAAGTTGTGTTGATTTTTCCTTCTTCCAAGTAAATTGTTTTATTTGTGTCCTTGCCATTACAGGCCGAAACAGCCCCTCCTTGATTAGGAAAGCGCAACCCTACGACATAACAATACAAACTTGCAAACTAAAATATGGTTTACCGTATTACTTGTAAAAATGTAATATGCAATATGTTGGGCAAACTAAGCATGCAGTTTCAATGAATAGTAACAAATTTGATAGATCTATCATCTTCCACAAATATTGCCTCGCACTTTCATTTGAATGATCATAATTTCAGTGACTTTTCATTTATGCCCATATACATGTATATCATTGAAAATGATATTGACCGTCTACAGACATACACTACAAACACAATATCCAGAAGGAATACCTACAAAATTATTTTTTGCCGATTGATACAAATTTGCATTTTTAATATAATACTCTGTAAGTGTATGCTTATCTTAAGTACTTTTTTTTCTATTTAGTTTTTTTATATATATTAAGAGGATATTTTTTCGTTTGAGTGAAATATGGAATATATTTTCACGAAACATGATAAAATGCCACATATTTTCACGAGCCGGGACGGCGAGTGAAAATATGTGGCATTTTATCATGTGGAGTGAAAATATATACCATATTTCACGAAAAACGAAAAAATAACCTTTTTATTTAATTTCAATATCAAAGAAAAATGGTTACGAACCCCCTTGCTTGCTACGCAACTGCAATTGTACAGCGCGCAGTAATATAATTATTGTCTTGTTTTGCACGTGATATTTAGCGCTACATTGTGACGTCACGTAAACAACTCCTTAAACGTCTGTACAGCGTTAATGACTGAATTAAAGATATTGGTGTTCGGATTTACTTTCTTAGTTAGACCGTTTTCTATCATTCTACATAGTTTTCAAAATAAAATTCGACAAAAATTTGTTTTGAATTTTCAGATTTTTCAAACAAAATGGCCAAAGAAGCCCCGTAAAATAAATATGAGTTTTGACTGCTCCCACTTTCATATTTATATTTCATATTTATTTTAAAAAAAATATGAAATATATTTGACTGATATAGCACCATATTTCATGGGTAAAAATAAATAAATATATATATTATATTTCTCTATAGGAACATTAAGTATTTTTTATACAAAAAAGTACTTAGCTTTTGTCTTATTTGTTTAATTAAAATCATTGAAAATACGCATATTTGAACTGTACTTTTTTCGCCATGTTAACGTTACGTAACTTATATTAGGTCACGTACGTTGTTTATTTTGATTATTTATCCTGTTGAAGGCGTAAACCGAAACGTTGATAAATAACAATCAAAATTCACGTAATTGTTGTTGATTGTTCTACTGGGTAATTCAGACAGCTTCTACATTTTCAAGATAAATAACTCTACGTATAATTATTATGTCATTGTTATGCAGACTATGCTAACATTTCTATATTATTTTCCATGGAAAACTAAGAACAAACATATGCAAGTTAACCAGTTTTACTTTGTCCAAGTATCTTTTTTTAAAAATACTTTTTTTTTGCTAAGAAAATTTTCTCAAAAGAGTATCAAATATATTCACTTTTTAATCAGAGTACTTTAAAGGAATTGTAAAAAGGAAGCTTTAAGCTTTAGACATTCTTTTGAATCCGTTCCTGGAACCGACCAGTACTGAGCAATGAGTGTAAAGTTTCTTGCTCAAGGAAACAACGACTTACCCCTGACGGGGTTTGAACCCATGCGGCTAGCGATCATAAGATTATTAGTCTGACGAGTTTTCCACTCGACCAAGCCGCTACTCAACATGTTCTTGGAGTACTTGTTCTCTATCAAATTTGAACATTAGTTGAAAGATGGATAATTTTGAAATACGTCTTTCCTTTATTATTTCTCTTGATTTTCTCTAAAATATCGTTTAAAGGTAGTCACTTCAAACTTGTGTGAAATATTTGTTGACTATTAAGGGCAGACAATCTGATAAGCATGTTTGCAGAGTTATGTTCCCTATTCTATTTTGCTTTTATTTTACTTTATCACACACCCGTGCCGATTTTGCGACTCCGTAAATATGGTATTGCACGGCCGTGCATATATTTTGACGTGACGTCATTAGCGTTATACAGAGGCTCGCATAATATAATTTTATTCAACTCGTGCAATAAATTCAGTATTGAACTTACACTCATTCAATATCCTCTATTTATTTTATGCTTTCAAAGTTTTGCTGTAATATATCAGATGACTATATTCTGATATATAATTTTCAATGTAGCCAGACTAGATTTCTATTTCTTGCATCTCAGACAGGATTATCAACCGTTTACACCGGTGCTAGAAAACTCTATCTTACATCCCTCATGTAAGACAAGTCGCGTGCTTTAAATGACGTCCTTGACGCGCGCCTTTTATGAATGAATCGCGTTCTTAGGATGACGTCATTTTTCCGTTATGAATGAAGTTGTATGTTCATACGTACTATAAGAAAAAATGCGTAATAAGAATATCAGTTTTCATAATTTCTGTTCCGAAAAATTATTGACATGATAATAACTCGGATAACTGTTTAGCGGAAACTCGACAGAGCTTGTTACCGCTGTAAACAGTTACCCTCGAGCTAGATATTCCGGTCTGTACCGGCAGCCGGTGTAAGATTCTTATATTCTTGCATATCATACAGGATTATCTACCGTGACGGTGGTGCTAGAAAACCCTGTCTTACACCCCCCCCCATGTAATACAATTCGCGTGCTTTAAATGACGTCATTACCGCGCGCCTTTTTCTGAATGAATAGCGTTCTAAGAATGACGTCATTTTACCGTTATTAATGAAGTTTGTAAGTTCATACGCTACAATAAGAAAAAAGTAAGTAATGAAAATATCAGTTTTCATAATTTCTGTTCAGAAAATAAATGACATTTAATATGCAAGAAAAATAATCAAACACTGGCTGTCGGTACAGACGGGAATGTCTAACTCTCAAATCGTCATATTCTATTTAGTATTTTCTATCGCCCGCCTAACTCAGATGTCATATACAACAATCTAATTGAAGATTCTATTGGTCTAGCCATTGACACTAATATACCTGACGTCATCATTACGGGTGATTTCAATCTAAATGTAAACTGTTATTCATCTAACCGCAAAATTACATCCATCACTCAACAGTTCAATCTAGAACAACTAATAGATGAACCAACACATTACACTGAACATTCAAATTCTTTGATCGACCTTATATTAGTTTCAAACAAAAGCAATGTTATTCATTCTGGTGTTGGTGATCACTTTCTAGAACAAGAACTAAGGTATCACGTTCCTATATTTTGGTTTTCTGAAATTCCGTAAACCGCGACAAATGTGTTTTGATCGCATTGTTTGGGAATATGAACATGCTGACTACGAAGCATTACGTGAAGATATAAATACCTATACATGGGAAAACTGCTTTGATGCAGATGTTAACATATATGCGAATAACGTAATCAATCAGATACAAACAATTGCTAAAAATAACATCCCTAACAAATTGATTAAAGTAAGACCATTAGATGTTCCATGGATGACAAACTCAATCAGAGTTAATATCCGTAAACGAAAACGTCTGTATAAAAAAGCTAGAATGACAAATTCACAATATTACTGGCAAAGATTCAAATCTATTCGTAATGAAACAATATTATTGATACGGGAAGCCAAGTCAAACTATTTTTGTAAACTCTCTAATAAATTGAAAAATGAATCACTTTCGTCTAAAGACTGGTGGAAGACTCTGAAATCTTTTATTTCATCAACAAATAATAGTAGCATTCCACCACTGACAGACCCCTTAAACAGAAATATTGTTTACTCAAATAACGATAAGGCAAATCTTCTAAATAACTTCTTCGTAGAACAAATGTCTATTAACGATGAGAACAGAGATCCACCTTACCTTAGTTCACCACTTTCCTGTCTCAACGATATTGTGCTTAGCCCTCATGAAGTAAAAGATGTTCTTCTTTCGTTACAAGTTGACAAAGCAGTAGGTCCAGATGGTATAAGTAATAGAATTTTACGCGAGGCTTCTCATGAACTATCTTCCCCCTTGTGTGACTTATTCAATGCTTCTCTACGATGTTGTGAAGTTCCAATTACATGGAAAGAGGCGAATGTCACTGCAGTTCACAAAAAGGGCGATACATCTCTCCCAAATAACTATAGACCCATATCACTTTTGAACACTACAGAAAAAGTTTTTGAACGTCTTGTATTTAAACACATCTTTAACTTTCTCAAAGTAAATAATTTTCTGTCTACTGCTCAGTCTGGTTTTATCCCGGGTGATTCTACTGTTAATCAGCTTGCCTTCATTTATGATACCCTTTGTAGATCACTTGACAATGGCCTCGAAGTTCGTGTGGTTTTCTTTGATATCAGTAAAGCGTTTGACAAGGTTTGGCATAAAGGCCTACTTTCGAAACTAAAGCACGCAGGTATATGTGGATCTTTGTTATCTTGGTTCAATAGTTACCTTACTGATAGAAAACAAAGGGTCATACTACCTGGCGCCTACTCATCATGGGCTTTTGTCAAAGCAGGAGTCCCTCAAGGCTCTATACTTGGTCCCCTATTATTTTTGATCTTTATAAATGATATTGTTAATGAAATTGAATCTTTCATAAACCTTTTTGCTGATGATACCAGTCTTTATGTTATAGTTGAACATCCTAACACAGCAGCCACACTTCTTCAGTCTGACATCCAAAAAATCTCTTTATGGGCAGAAAGGTGGTTAGTCACCTTCAATCCTTCAAAATCGGAATCCCTACTTGTAACCAGAAAGCGAAATCGTCAGCATCACCCTTCATTGCATATGTTTAACCAACAAATTCCAGAAGTTTCTGAACACAAACATTTAGGCATCTTTCTTTCTTCTGACTGCACATGGCACAAACATATTGAATACATAACTGATAAAGCTTGGAAAAGGGTTAATATAATGCGTAAACTGAAATTCTCTCTGGATCGTAAATCTTTGGAAATCATCTATATAGCATTCATTAGACCTATTTTGGAATACGGTGATGTAATTTGGTGCAATTGTACCCAATATGAACTCGAACAGCTTGATAAGATTCAAAATGAATGTGCACGCATTGCAACTGGTGCAACCAAGCTTATCTCACTAGAAACTTTGCAGAAAGAAATTAATTGGGAATCGTTATCCGAAAGAAGATATAAACACAAACTAATTATGTTTCACAATATGCAGTCGAACAAAACTCCAGATTATCTCTCATCATTAATACCAAATCCAGATCAATCCCGTTACAGCTTACGAAACTCTGAAGATATCAGAGGAATTACATCAAGGACTACTCTGTACCACAATTCTTTCTTGCCATCAGTTATTCGTGATTGGAACAACTTGCCTGTTATAATACGAAACAGCCCTACAATATCTTCATTTAAAACTTTCTTAAACAAGGACAGAAAATATACACCAACATACTTTTATACAGGTAGTCGTAAACTGCAGGTCCTTCACACTCGGCTTCGAACGAACTGCAGCGCATTAAATCACCACCTGTTTTTGAAAAACATTTCTCTTACCCCTTTGTGTAATTGTGGGCAAATCGAAACTACCCAACATTTCTTTTTCGAGTGCTGTGCATACGATGCCGTCCGCAGAACACTCCTCCTTAACTTGCAAGACTTCAGCATAAACCTTCATAAACTTCTTTATGGTGACCCATCTCTTACATACCAGGACAACGTTATTATATTTACAAATGTACAAAATTATATAGAAAAAACGAAAAGATTTACTTAGATCTATTCTAATTGAGACTATAATCCTCTCTCACCCTTTTTCTTCTCTTTTCCACTATTTTGTTTTCTTCTTTTATATATATTCTTACATTTTAGACTTGTAGTTAATCTATTCTATAAAAGTTTATATATAAATATATATTTTATGTGTGTATAATTAATACTTATTCCCTTGTCTAGTATATACTAATTATAAACTTATTTAAGACAAACCATATAGTTCGCCAAAGGAGAAGAATTCTATAAGACTTGTCTTTCATTCTCATCCTTTTCCATTGTGTAAAATGTTTTGTTTGTTATATATTTGTATGTATGTACATTATATATACTTTCGGGAATAAATATGTTTAAACTAAACTAACTCTCAAGTAACTGTTTAGCGGAAGCTCGCTAGAGCCTCGTTACCGCCGTAAACAGTTACCCTCGAGCTAGATTACCTCCTTTGGCAGAATCTGTCCTGACAAGGGGAGATCATTGCGTAGGAGATTGGATATTCCGGTCTGTACCGGCAGTCGGTGTAAGATTCTCATAAGAAAATAATATTATAACTAGATGGAATAACAGGCAATCATAAATGCCGTCATACGTAAATGTTGCTTCTTTAAGAAAAGAAAGTCGATTTCATCGTGTTAAAATGTTACAACATTAATTAGAGGATATTGAATGAGTGTAAGTTCAATACTGAATTTATTGCACGAGTTGAATAAAATTATAGCGAGCTCGAATGACTGTTTTAAAACGGAAAATGTAAAATGAAAATTGAACGATTATTTTACATAGGTTTTGCCTAATTCCATTTAATGTACATTTACCTCCTCTTTTTCAACAAACAAAACAATAATAAGGAAAAAAAACAAAGGGGTGGAGCCATATTTAACACAGTACATGTGACGTCACACGCACTGAACACACTACGTGTGACGTCACACGCACTGTTTACAAACAAAATGGTTATCTAGTTCTGAGAAGATAGCGTGTCTTTACAGTAAGTTTGTAAAACGCTAATGACGTCACGTCAAAATATATGCACGACCGCGCAATTTACCATTTTATACCGTTTGTCCCACTTTCTTATCCAATCAAATGCTCCAATTTATTTGAAATATATTGCATACACTATACCGGGACTGGTGTATGTGAAAAATAAGTTGACTTATTTTAACAGGTATTGACGTGGTATATCTGGCAAATATGACGTTATGGATATGGGCGGAGTTTTAAATTAGACAATGAATGCAGCATGCGAATAAAGTAAACAAATAAGAAAGAGATTTCATACGGTTATTTATAAATCCAAGCTTTTACATGTATAAAAATGATTGAAACAGTACATTCCCTATACCGTCATGGTTATAATTCAAACATTAGAAAACAGTTTGTGGCTGATAACTGAAAATAATAGACATAGAGCGAGAGAAATCTCAAAGTTCGAAACTAACACATATCTTTAAAAGATCATACAGAATATCCATTTTTCATAATTCCAAGACATTTTTTTTCCACATTTTGTTAAAATCTCCACTTTTTTAACAGTTGACTTCGACCCCTATACCCTCGTTAGTCAACTCGCGCATGCATGGATCCAATATTCTGCGAAGTTCAGAAAAAAAGATCTTCAGTTTTAACAAAGTTCACGTGCATGGATTTTTCATTTCGAAGATACCGTTGTAGCCTTGCAGCAATGTTTAGTAAAGTTGTTGGAGGATAAAATACATCATTTTTCCTGATGAATCGTTGTAACCAAAAATCCATTTCTGCACATGAACGGAACTGCTCTATTTGAACGGGAATAGGATAACCAGGCTCTTGCTTAGTCTCCGGTTGTAGGTTGCGGTTTTCAGCCAACTCCCTCCAGACGCGCACTGCCCAGTTGTTTTTCGTTGTATTATAGGACACTGTATTTCTGGTCTTTCTTAATGTCATCAGATGTCAAAAGCTTTTCAAATCGGCCTGCAAAATGCAAATATCAAAGAAACCCCTTAACTATAATTTTCAAAGTTTTTTTAATAATTGCAACAGCATTTTAGGCAGATTAATCATGTTATGTTTGAATAATTAACTTCAATACTTTGAGGTTCGGCGCGCTTGGTCATGTTACAATTTGTATTTTCATTCAGATAATGATGCAGTTAGATACTGCGACAATTCGAGAATATTTTTTTATAAAATATTACCTGAGCTTTTGCCTCTTTTTGCTTGTGTCTGCATATAAAACCTGCGTATCAATATCAAGCAACTGCGTGACCACATCAGCACATTCGACATGAAATGGTTCAAAAACATGATTCTTGCTATATTCATGTCAAACACAGCCTGATCGCAGGATTGTTACATGATGACTAATGATATAAAAATACATAAAAATGCAATGCTTTAATTGACAGGTCAAAACACTACGACCAATCTATACTAGTTAGGGCAGGACTCGTATTACATCAAACGCTGTACCGACACTTCGTACGTGACTTATTCCACGAAAGTGGGTCAAACGGTAAGCCAGTTATAGTTCATATTTTAAAAAATATAGAACTAATTGCTGCGCTCCGCTACGCTACGCTTGCAATAAATTCCATATTTTTTAAAATCTGAACTATAACTATTACTTACGGAGTCGCAAAATCGGCAGGGGTGATAGATAACTAACTTTTTTTAAAAATTGATGATGTAACGTCATGATGTGGTGACGTCATATAGGAGAATGTGAAACGTTACGCGGCAAATCAGTATAAAATACTCAAAATCACTTATAAAGCATGAAATAAAAAGAAAAAAAAATATTTGTTTTAGAAATAAGATTGAACAACATTTCATTTGTGGACAACAGCCTTTATATTTTTACTCTTGTCTACTATACTAGTGAAAATATTGCATCTGGTGTTAACTCAGTGAAATATATTTCAAACTTACATGCAAAACAATTAAATATCCTCTATGCATATGTAGCTATGTATATGTTAGTGTTCATCCGTGATGTTCTACAGAAACTAGAAACTTCGACGGGAGCGATAGCGACAGGAGAATGTTTCTAATTTCTGTAGAACAGCACGGATGAAAACTAACATATTTAGTGTCAAGCTTTATTTGGCCTCATTATCAGTCACTTTATTACGTCACAATGCGGTTTTATGAAGTACTATGAAAAATGGAAGTCGGCTATGGACGAATTCGATATAGTATCGACTTTTGTTCTTCTATGAAAATTAACGCACAAAAATACAGCGTTTTCATTGGATGACAAATAAAGTTTGGCCACTAACACTGATTAGTGTCAAGCTTTATTTGGCCCTTAATTACGTCACTACGCGGTACTATGAAGAACTATGACTTTTTTTCTTCTATGAAAATTAACACACATAATTTTTAAGAAATACAGCGTTTTCAGTGGATGACAAATAAAGCTGGACACTAATCAGTGTTAGTGTTCAGGTGCGTAGCTAGGGCTTGAAAAAATATACGCAAAGCGAGGCACGAAGTGCCGAGAGGGGGAGCGTGCGGGAGGGGGTGTCCCCCTCCCGCTGATGGGGGTAGGGGGGTCTCCCCCGGAAAATTTTGAAAACTTATATGTTAAATCGTGGGCTCTGGCAGGTCTTGAAGCACCTTTTGCACGTAAAGCATGAAGCATTTTCAAGTCATTTTTCCCCATAAATTGATAAACATATAGCTGCTTGTTTTACTTTCTAACTTATTTCATTATAACTTTGTACAGATTTGTAAAGAAAAAGGCAGTGTACGCCTTGTAGTTTTCTTATTTTACACGTGCATATAAACATACACAAACATTTTTCGATGTGAAGTTTAATTAAGGATGCAGATCATGAAATTGGTTTATGTATGAATGCCCGTTCAAATGTAAAACGCATTTATCAGATAACAAGTTTTTTTAGCATTTCTCGTCAAATCAGTTTGGTAAGAACGGCTTTTCTCTTAAGCCTTCAGTCTTATTTATCCAAGTGTATATAATTTTTCTAAATGCACAAGAAAAATTATACTCTGAGAACACTTCTATTCCATCGTAAGAAAGTAGGGAAATTACCAGATACAACGAGATATGAAATGGTCTAATGATCACTCTATAGGTCTCCTCAGGCGGTGATGAGAAAGTAACGGACTTACTCATAGATATATTTTGTTGCCCACAAAAAATATGGCCGGCTCTTGTGATGGAATTCATGTGTTCTTTTGAGTTTGTGTGCCGATTAACGACTTATCTTGCGTTGCTCCAGTCAATCAAAGGACGAGCAACAACCACATTTTCAGCCGCATTAAAGGCGAAACATGGAGCACAAAATACCCCATCAAATAAATGATGTACCTTAAGTAGATGGGTGCTTTTTTCGAGTTCTGTGAGAGGTGCAACCCAACCTGTATGTGGCTCGAACCGTTCGGTGAGGACTACATTTTCTTAGAATCTGGCATTCTTAGTCGGCTTCTGATATTAATACTTCCGATATCCAGGAATCGTGCTCCCAGGGACCTTCTAGAGGTTGTCGAGGGGAGAAGAAGCAGGGGGAGACAAAAAGTGAAGGTGGGCGGAGAAGGAGGCGCGACATAGTTGTCTGATTTGCTGATCACAGGAGGGTCACATGCCAGGTCTTCTGAATTCTGTTTAGTTTCTACCTGGTCAGATTCATTATCGACTTGAATGGGGTCCTGTTTTAGGACCATAAAAAGGGTCGCTTGTCCTGGAATTAGGCCTCTGTTTCTTTTCATTTTGACAACTAATTACACAACAAAAATTAAATTTTGCCCCGAGTTGATGATTTTTAAAATCTTGATCTAGACGTTAAAAGATTTAAAGTCGTTTTAAAATAGAGCTATTCCAAAGGAAACGATTTAGAAAGGATTGGTCTAAATCTTTAAGAAAAGTTTTATAATCTTTATTTTCTGAGAATTTAACCAACGATAAGTTATTATGAGCCTAGTTTGTAAATAAATTAATGCTGAGCTTTTCATTTATCCCTCGGCAATAAGTTTGTAAATGCTTCGAGTTAACGAAAAACTTATATGCACATATATAAGTATAATTAATAGAAACGTCATACGATAGAGTGACGCAATCATAGTTTACACTTTGTAGTAAACAGTATGACGCCTGAAATGGAGATCTAAATCTATTGCGATAAAACCATTAAAACTTAGATTTTCTCAACTATATTTTTTACCTTCGGAATTTTTTATACGCAATTGCGTATTGTGCGTAATGGAAGCTACGCCCTTGAGTGTTGGAAGTTTATAATTAAGAAATAACATCGGCCTGAGAGGTGTATATCGGCTATTTAACACCGTGTTTGGAGTTTTGATGCGTAGGAATTGACCACGACCTGAGTGGTTAATTCTTTCGCATCAAAACGACAAAACCGGTGTTAAATAGTCCATATACAGCTCTCAGGCCGATGTTATTTCGATTGTATCACGATAAAAGAAGGAAGATCAATAATGTTATTTTTTTCAAACGGAAATAACTTCCGGTGCCGATTTTCGTACAACGCTGTTCGATTTTCGCACCCTACTGTTGCAAAGATATAGAAATTATTAAACTGAGAAAAAAACGTTATTTTATCAAGTTTTCAACGTCGTATTGTGTTTACATCAGTGCCCCATTTATCATTCTTGTATGTATGAAAAACGTCAGCTTGTTTATGAATGAGTTGTTTACTTACGATGACGTCATTACGCTGCTTACGGATTGGCGCCGTTTTGTCGGATCTAATATGTGGCGTTAGTGTATGTGAGATATTATTTCGGTATTGTATAAAAAGAACACATTATAAGAACTGAAAATATAAATAAAAATGATTTGTATTGTTGCTTTAAAAGGCTTTGTAAACTATATAATCGAGGGTGAAAACATAAAAGCCGGAAATACAAGTAGTTCCTAACCAGTGTTTATTGGCAGTTTAACACCGGTTTTTTCCTTCTTTGTCTATAGTGACAAAATCACGTGGAGTGATAGAATGGTTATTTTCAAACAATTGTTGTTAACGTTATCGAGTAGCGTGTACCTTAAATTTTGAAAGATCTTAAACAGCAATGTTAAAAGTCGAGTCGCCTCTTAATGTCGCACCTGAATTAAAATGTTGCAAGCTTGACAGTAAATGTCGCAATAACGCTAAATGTCGCTATAACCCTAATGGTAAACATCGCACTTTCACACAAACAGTCTTGACTGACCGTAAGACACATCTAATTGACACTATAAGGAATTGTAAAATTGACAACATAGGACAGTTATATGTCTTTAAGGATTCTACAATGCAAAGTTTAAGTTAACTGTTTATGAGTTACTTTGCTTTTAGAAGGGCTCTTTTTCAGAAATAAGGAAACTCTAAGATAATCTGTAACATATAATCATTATGAAAAATGTTTTCCTATTGATCATTAATAAGAAACAAATAATAGCATTCAGGTAACAAATCACACAAGCAAAATGATTGTTTGTACACAAAATGTTTGAAATATGTATAAAAACCCACTTTAAACTTTAAAAGTCTAAATATACCTAAAATTTACAACAATGAGGGTCTGTTTTTAAAGTTAGTCTAAATGTTCTGAAATGTATTTTGGCTGATCTTCCAAAATATAAAATACTTTATTTATTTTTTATTTTATTATACTTTGAAAATATCAGGTACCATATTTGCTATTAAATTTGGCATTATTTAGCCAATAAATACCTACAATAATAATATAATAAAAATCAAACAATTTTCCACCCCAAAGGAGATCTGAGAGATACATGAATAATGTTAAAAGAATAAAAAATAAAGAAAAAAAAATGCCCCTTCTGGGG